GTAGCGACCAGCACCTTGAAGCGGATTCGGAGACTAATAGGTAGCCAGTGCAGCTCGCGGAGGATAGGTGTAACATGGGTTTATTAACTCTCTCAAGGGACTTAAAAGCCTCCCATTTTTCTTTAATTGAAGATGCCTAGAGCTGAAACTTTAGCTTTGTGCATGTAACACATGGCTCTACTACTATGCAACAAGCCCTATAAAGAATTGATACAGCGATTTGTAGAAACATACAGATACCTTCAGGCAGAGTTTGCTGCATATGTCCAGTAACAAAATCCATGAAATAGTTCTGCTAAAGCATTTTTTTGTCTTCATCTAATGTTCCGAAAAGTGCTTCCCTTCCCAATAGGGATAGCATTTAGACTTATATATTGCTCCACCATGCTTTACAGCCCTCTCTAAGTGGTTTACAGAGTCAGCATGTTTTCCTCAACAATCTTGGTCATCATTTTAGCGCTCTCGGAAGGATGGGAGGCTCAGTCAACCTTGAGCTGATCAGGATCGAACTCCTGGCAATCAGCTGAATTAGCCTGCAATATTCATTCTAATCACTGCGCCCCCAAAGCTGCCTTTGTCCAATGATAACCCATCTCCAACTACTTACATTTATAGTGCAGGATCTGGTTGGTGCAGAGGCTCACAAGGCAGACTGACTGCTTACTACCTGTTCATTAGCATCCCTAGCAGCACCTTAGAACCATCTGCTCAGGGTTCCTCCCTGTGTGTTGAAATTTATTATCAAATATGTCATTGGAAAAGGGCTTTATTTAACAATATCAAAGAAAGATTGCAGAGAAGAGCAACAGATGATGAGGGAACTGGAGGCTAAAACATATGAAGAACGGTTGCAGGAACTGGATATGTCTAATGAAAAGGACCAGGGGAGACATGATAGCAATGTTCCAATATCTCAGGGGCTGCCACAAAGAAGAGGGAGTCAAGCTATTCTCCAAAGCACCTGAGGGTAGAACAAGAAGCAATGGGTGGAAACTAATCAAGGAGAGAAACAACTTAGAACTGAGGAGAAATTTCCTGACAGTTAGAACAATTAATTAGTGGAACCAACTTGCCTCCAGAAGCTGTGAATGCTCCAACAGTGGAAGTTCTTAAGAAGATGTTGGACAACCATTTTTCTGAAGTGGTGTAGGGTTTCCTGCCTAGGCAGGGGGTTGGACTAGAAGACCTCCAAGGTCCCTTCCAACTCTGCTATTCTATTCTAAAACAGGCAAATTTAGTGCCAGGCTGTTCCATTTTAGAATGAAGGAGGAAAAAAAGCTTTCTCCATATAAAATATTTTTGTCCCAGAGTAAGTGGCATTGGATTAACTTTCCTCTTGACTTTCTTGTGGTGAGTTGGTCATGATAGCTTGGTAAAGGGGTGGACTCAAATATACCCAACTGGCTTCTTGCAACATGAAATGATGCAACCAAGAACAGCATTTCCTTGCACCTGGTGAGGAGCTAGATGACCGGCTCCGGGGTTTCACACAATTGTAAGTGCATGGGACAATTGGTCTCTTTAACACTCCTATGCAAAGTTCAGCGTTGCTGTAGGTTATGAAAATTCCCGCATGGAAAAGAGATGACTGCTTGTTTGCCAAATGAGCAGAGCTTAAGAAGGGGCCTTATCAACTGTTTAAATGATCAGAGAAGAATGACAAGGCTTGAAATGCAAGTGTTAAGTACTGTACATAAATGTTCGGTCTATGGAGCTTCTCAGTCGTCCAGGTTATGGTTGTCCCAAAAGGTGCTTTTTCAGGAGGCAACTGGACTTTCTTCTTTCTTTTTTTTTTAAAAAAAGGCATTTCTGTTCTACCCTCACTACACATTAGTCTGTCTCAGTGGTGGGTTTCAAAAAATTTTCGAACCTACTCTGTGGGTGTGGCCTCCTTTGTGGGAGTGGCTTGCCAGCCATGTGACCTGGTGGGAGTGGCTTGCCGGCCATGTGTGTGTTCTCTCTCTCTCCTCTCTCTCTCTCTCCTTCCTTTTGTTTTTCTGTCCCTTTTTCCTTCTTTTCTTTCATCTCTCTCTCACTTTTTCTTTCTTTTTTTCTTTCTTCCTTTCTTTCTCTTTCTCTCTCTGTGTGAGTCTGTCTGTATATGTGTGTGTGTGTGTGAGTGGTGGGTTTCAAAAAATTTTGGAACCTCTTCTGTAGGTGTGGCCTGCTTTCTGGGTCCACTGGTAGAACCTCTTCTAATCGGTTCGGTAGATTTGACGAACCGGTTCTACCGAATTGGTGCGAACTGGTAGGAACCCACCTCTGGTCTGTCTGCAGCTCAACATGCAGCTAAACCCACCTATCCTCCAATAAAACAGACCGTGTGGATCTGAATGTTTTATTGAAAGAACAGGATTTGGTGAAACTAGGAAAAATAGGGATACATATAACGAGACCCAAATACAAGATAGGCAGTATTGAGTTACTGCTGAACATAACAATGAATAAATACAAGCAAATTAAATCTCACAGCATGTGGGTTTGTCCTTAATCTGTACCACAGATTTAAGATGAAATTTTTCTTTGTGCTTCTGCCTTCTCCAAATGCTAAAGGAAATGGAGTCTGGCTTCCCAGCGTGCACTCGGTTTGAGAGTGCGGGCTGATGGGTAAAATGGGTGGGGTCAGCTTCAAATAATATACTTGGTATTTGTCTCTCAACCACTAGATGGGACTAGAGAGCAACAACAGTATATAAAAATCGCATGTTAGGGCATATTTATCCCTCTGGCCACTAGATGGGGCTAGAGAACAACAACAGTGTATAAAAGTTATATGCTGGGGCATGACAGTTTCCAAGAAGCTTCTTCATCTCTAACCCGATGATGGTCAGGTGAACCCACCTTCCAGTCAGAGCTGAAGAAGCTTCTTGGATAAGAATGTCTTCAAAATTAAAAAAAAACAAGAAAGTCCAGTTGCCTCCTGAAAAAAGCATGCTCAGTCTTATAAAAGATTTGCTTGATGTTCATGTAACATGACCATATATTTTTCTCTCTCTCTCTTGGATTCTCTTACCTTTGATTGTTGTCATGAATCTTCTATTATTGTATTTACAGCAATACTTGAAAAAAGGCAGCCTTTCAGCAGGGGAAGCTATCAAGCAAGCTTACGGTAAGCCTGATCGATCTAAAGTAATCTTTGAATTTAAACAAGAACATATGGCAAAAAACATTTGATAACACCTACCTGTGTGAAGGTTCGAAACCATTAGAAAAGGAAGTAGATCCACACCGATGGCTATAAATAATGTAGTGTTGAAATTCTCTTTGTTCTTTACAAGTGCTGAAGCAGAAGCTTCTGGTTCTGAATAAAGATAATATTGGTAATAATGGATCCCCTCCTTTCCATTTGATGATATTGTTGAAGGGGATGTCAGGTGTGGAGTTCAGTCTTATTTTGCAGAAAATACTATCCCAAGAAAAGTGTCTGGTTTTTCCCTACCCACATCCTGCATTTCCTTTGAATTCTTCTTGGACCATCGGAAAGGGAAAAGGAAAGGAATTGGAAAAATACTAGATTTAGGACAGTGTTTCTCAACCTTGGCAACTTGAAGATGTCTGGACTTCAACTCCAAGAATTCCCCAGCCAGCATTCGCTGGCTGGGGAATTCTGGGACTTGAAGTCCAGACATCTTCAAGTTGCCAAGGTTGAGAAACACTGATCTAGGACATATAAGGATGAAAAAATGACAGTATATAACCTATATATTGACATTGCCTTGAAAGCATCAAAAATATTGTAGATCAGAAATACTTTTATATTTTCAACAATCAAAATAACTCAAATTATATGATGTTTTAGACACCTCAATTTTAAAGATTTTTTTAAAAAGTTAATTTATTGGGGGGAATCTGAAAGTTTTATTTTGGGATGATGGAGCCCTGGCCCAAGAAATGGTAGAGAGTGTGATGTCTTCTCCCCCTGGATACGGTAACCTGACCTTCTCAATTTCCTTACACACCTAGACAACGGGGATTTTAGAGGTTTTTTTTTAAAACCCTCTCTTAAGCTGCAGTTATGTGAGAGACATGGAACTTTAAAAAAATCATTTATACCAATATCATGAATTCAGGCCATAAATATTAAGACTGTGTGCACTATGTATAATTAGTATTAGTATTAGTATTTAATAAATTTATAGGCCGCCCAATCCCGAAGGACTCCGAGCGGCTTATAGAAAATACATTTTTTTAAAAAATAAAGAATTAAAAAAGACAGAGAAAGACAGATTAAAAACCACATCATGCACTCAATCTAGTTGAGGCTGGACCTCAGTTATGAGGTCAACAGCCCCAGGCCTGCCGGAACAGCCAGGTTTTGATAGCCTTTCNTGTGGACTTCAACTCCCAGAATTCCTCCTCTCGCTCTTCATCTTGATGATGTGTGGACGGGTGGGGGGAGGGAGCTGGAACCGGTTCTAAACGGCCCTGTAGATTTGTGGAACCTCTTCTATAGAAGAGGTTAGAACTGGCAGGAACCCACCCCTGGACATGGCACATCAGTCCCCATGTCGCTTTGAGGAATCTTTTGACATTTATATACAGCATCCAGACTTGTAGAGAGAAACCAATCAGTTAAGGTTAATTCCATCCTCTGGGGTAGGGGTGGATTCTGGCAGCCCCTACTGCCGGTTCTCTCGTGGTTGCACAGAGTGTGCATGCTTGATACGTGTGGTGCGTGCATGCGCAATACTATAAAAAGGCTTCTGCGCATGCACAGAAACAAGATGGCAGTGCGTATGGCACCACTGGGAGAACTGGTTCGGGGAGGGAGGTGGCAGACCTGGGTCACTACTAGTTCCAACGACCCATGCCACCAAACCACTACCAATTTGGCTGAACCAGGCTGAACTGGTAGGAACCCACCACTGCTCTGGGGTGACAGAAGCATAGGCTGAGCTTTCATGAATGGTGCACCTCCAAAATTCTTCCTTTCATCGCTGTAGGCTCGTTTTGGCCGCACCGCAATCTCCATAGCTCATCGCTTGTCCTCAGTGAAATCTGCTGACGTCATTATTGGGTTTGAGCATGGAAGAGCTGTGGAAAGAGGAAAACACGAAGAGCTGATCGAACGGAAAGGAGTGTATTTCACACTAGTAACGTTGCAAACCCAAGGCGACAAGGCCCTTATGGAAACATCAATGCAAAGCAAGTACCTGATTCTGTATCTTTGATGTTCCTCACTCAAAGAATTAACTTTCTATTAATGAAGCTTAAGTTTTATTCTTATTTTTTGGGGGGTTCCACAGAGAATTAGACTTTGCATATTTCATAACCAAGGAAGCTGTCCACTTTAGGTTCAAACAATTTCTTCCTGTACTGTATTCGATATTATTTACTCTGATATTATTATTCAATTGTATCACAGCGGCCAGTTGTTTCGCCGGATTTGGCATTGGTTACTAGTCGGGCCCCACCCAGGGGCCTAGGACGTCGTAA